CATTTGGTAGGGAACTCCTAGCCATGTACTGTTCTGTACGCCATTTTCGACATTCTGTGGAAGGTCGTGATTTCATTATTTTCACAGACCACAAACCGTTAACGTTTTCCCTCAGCTCGGCGTCTGACAAATACTCCCCTCGTGAGTCGCGACAGCTGGATTACATTTCCCAGTTCACGTCAGACATCCGCCACATTTCTGGAGCAAACAACTCCGCAGCCGACGCACTATCTCGAATAGCTTCGATAAACTATATCGAGGGTATTGATCTCGTTGAACTAGCTCGGCGTCAAAAGGAAGACCTTGAGCTGCATCATGAGTTGTCGTCCACAACTCTCAAACTGCGACTTTGTCCTGTTGGATCAGACAAGGATGCAATTTTGTGCGATGTCTCTGCTAGTCAACCACGCCCAATAGTTCCGAAGAGTTGTCGACGCAACGTCTTCAATACGTTGCACAAACTCTCTCATCCAGGTGTACGAGCCACCATTAGGCTTATCGCACAACGTTTCTGCTGGCCTGGGATGAACAAAGACGTTAAGGAGTGGGCCCAGTCGTGCTTAGCTTGTCAAAAGTGTAAAGTCACGCGACACACGAAAAGCCCTTTAGGCTCATTTCTAGCCCCAGACATGCGTTTCGACCACGTCCATATAGATATTGTAGGACCCCTACCAGAATCTAATGGATGTACCTACCTTTTCACCTGTGTTGATCGTTTCACACGATGGCCGGAAGCAGTACCCATTAAAGATATTACTGCCGAAACAGTTGCTCGTGTTTTCGTCGAAAGATGGATCGCGAACTTCGGATGTCCATCTTACGTCACAACCGACCGTGGGCGCCAATTTGAGTGCGGACTATTTCACGCTCTAACGGCACTTTTAGGTTGCACTCGGTTCCGAACGACAGCCTACCATCCACAAGCAAATGGCATGGTAGAGCGTTTCCATCGACAGCTGAAAGCTTCCCTTTCAGCTACAAACATACCTCAGTGGACCGAGGCTCTGCCTCTAGTCCTACTAGGTATTCGTAACGCGTTGAAAGTTGATGCTGGATGCACTCCTGCAGAACTCGTCTATGGGACCACTCTTCGCCTACCAGGTGAGTTTGTTTCCCCTTCAACTTTCAAACATGTTTCCGACAGGGCATCTTACGTGACTAGGCTTACAAATGCAATGCCTTCTCCGATTAGACCGCAAACGACTGATGTTTTCGTCCACCCCAGTTTACAGAAGACATCACACGTGTTTGTTCGCCACGACGCTGTTCGTCGACCACTTGAACCACCCTACGACGGGCCGTTCAAAGTGATTAAGCGACATGAGAAATTCTATGTAATTGAGCGAGACGGACGTGAAGATACTGTCAGTATCGACCGTTTGAAACCAGCTTATTTCGAAGGCAACCCCATTGTAAGTGACGTTTCAGCTCGCTACATCCGACCGACGGATGACTCAATTATCGAAATTCTCGACGATGTGCCTGGTAATGCACAGCTGCAACAACCATCGGCGCAACAAAAAACACGATCAGGTCGAACCGTCAGGTTCCCAGAGTACCTGAAGTCATATTCAACTTAGCGTGTGTGTGCCAACCATTTTTTTTCGAGGCACTATTTTTCTTATTTACCGGCATGCACAACCCTCGTACACTTTGCCTTTTTATATCAATTTTTATTTACCATGTAATAAAACTAAAAAAAAACGGCGAAGATAAGCGTAAATTTTTATTTTTCGATATGTTTATATATAAATAATTCCCATTTTTACGCAACGTTTTCGTGGTATTAAAGACTTTTATTTATATTCCAGGTGCAACGAGCACTGGACGGAACGTCGAAAGGAACAGATGACCGCGACCGACGTACAATTTCATTTATTGTATTTTATTTATTTAATCGCCACGACACCCTAGAATAAGGTTCAGACAACCAGGGGCCACCTCACGCAGTGAGCCCATCGGAGAGTTTTACCAGTGGAGAAACCACTGGGTTTTTACTTCCGGCTGGTATCGTCTTAGGGTCCTCACGAACCCACTAGGGGGGGAGTGATCTGTAGCGTCATACACTTCCCCAAAATCAATAGCCTAGGGTTTGACGACTTCGACATTGATGCTGACCTTGATAGTTTAACTGGACTCGCTAAGCTGAAGGCACCCGGTCAAGCATCCTCGCCATTTGGCACGCTGTCGTGTTACGTTGCATTGCTCGTATTCGACTCTCTAGCCAGTTAGTTGGAACGCATCGGTATTTTGGCATAACCATCCAAATATACTATTCCATCCGACTACGCTATCGTGTTCTTCCTTGGTCTCGTATTCGTGGGTATATAACAAGTTCGAATAATTAGTGATTGGTCTTTGCGTCTGTCAAGTTCGCACCAGGACAAATCCTAAAGGCTGTACTCGAGAAGCTTTCCCCAGATCAGATGCAGTAATACTAACTTTAGACCAGATTAATTAACTAATCGTGTCTCTATCCTTTCAACTTCGCCTGGCTAACTAGTTCACTGGTTACTGGCCGGTCCTAAGCGCGGTAAAGAGGGAAGGTTGGGCATAAGGCTAGGAACCCTACACCGCAAAACAAATCTAACCGCTAAAGAAACTTTAAAGCACAAACGATATACACAAAATAATAACAAAATCATTCCTCGCTGGAATCGGAGAGGCGAAATGACGCCAGATGGTGAAAGCCTTCGGGAAGCCAATTGGCCGATGTGTCTTCTCTCCCTCGATGACAGCGAAAGTAAACGTGAAGATATGGAATGTCCGCATGATGTTTGAACCCAGCAAGGCAGCCCAGATTGCGAACGCGATGAAGAGGTATCACATTGAAGTACTTGGAATTTGCGAGAGCAGATGGAATGGAAGTGGACTCTCCAAACTGTCAACTGGAGAATCAATAATCTACTCCAGTCGCTCAGACGACAACCACGAGCACACTGAGTTTCGGAGTGGCCATCGTGATGTCCCCTTCAACAGGCTCGGAGGCTCTCATGCAGTGGGAACCAATCTCCTCCAGTATCAGGATCATGACAGCAAGGTTCAACTCAAAAGGAAGGAAGGTCACAATCATTCAATGCTATGCACCTACAAATAATGCAGATCAAGAGAAGAAGGAGGAATCCTACAGACAACTGCAAGCAACACTGGACATGACCCCAGTTGGTGACATCAAAATTCTAATGTGCGACATGAATGCCAAACTGGGAGGGGAAAACACAAGAAGCAAAACAAACCATAGGCAGAGAAGCGCTGGGTGAAATGAAAGCGAATGGAGAAATGTTTGCAGAATTCTGTATGCTCAACGGTTTGGTGATTGGAGGTGAGGCAGTGTGTTCAAGTACAAGGATATCCAAAAAGCAACATGGATTCAACTTCACCAGGTGGACACACTAAAAATCACATCGACATCACCTCAATGTGAAGGAAGTGGAGACGCAGACATGACCGGAGAAAAGATCAGATCAACAAGGGGAGCGAATGTAGACTCAGACCACTATCTAGTGCAAAGAACCTTCCAAATTAAATAAAAAGCCTCCGGGGAGGCTTATGATAGACCACACTTCAAGTACAACACTCAGAAACTGAAGGACTAAACCACAAAGGATATCTTCACGGCAGCCATCAAGACAAAATGGGAGATATCGAGGAACATCCTAAAGAAACCTGTGTGGAAGAACACTGGATACTTTGAAAGCTATGCGGAAACAAACCTGCACAACTGTATAAGGAAGGAAGAAGAAAGAAGATAAGGAATGGATCTCAATGGATACATGAAAGCTGATAGAGCAGGGGGAGGAGGATGGTGAAGCAGAAGATAAACCAGTGCAAGGATGCATAACGAGAGGAGGAACTGAGTACAATGTATAAAACACTGGAAAAAAAAGTGAAGAAGAGTGCACGCAAAGACAAAAGACATTTCTATGAAACACTGGCAGGTGAAGCAGAACAGGCTGCTGGCTGGTAAGAGAGACCTGACAACATTGTATCAAATAACCAGGTTACTATCTGGGAGGGAAGAGATCAACACAGATGAAACCTATAAAAGATGATGAAGGGGATTTAATTACCAACGAAGAGGAAGAAAAGAAACAATGGGCCGACCACTTCAAGAAGCTCTTGAATCGACCACCATCTGCACTTGGTCCAGAAATACCACCTGCAGCCCAGTCACAGAACTACAAGTGAACATAAATCTTCCGACGAAAGTCGAAGCCCTGAGCTCCATAAGGCTACTGAAATGCGGCAGCACTGTTTCAACTACAGGTGGCACAGACGAGGACGTCAAAGTCAGGATCGGAAAGACAGCAAGACAGGCGTTCATTAGCCTGAAACCAGTGTGGAGATCTTCTGCACTCAGCATGCAGAACAAGATCCGGATTTTCAACACCAATGTCAAGTCATTGCTCCCATATCGTTGGGAGACTTGGCGCGTTGCGAAAGGCATTTCCAACAAACTTCAGACATCCATCAACAACTGCCTACACTGGCTCGTTACTGAAGATCAGATGAGATGGTGAGAAAGAATAAGCAACAAGGAGCTCTAGGAACGAACCAACCAAGAACCTATCGTCCGACAAATATACAGTGGAAGGAAGTGGAGATGGATTGGGTTGGGCATACACTGAGAAGGCCGACTGGGGACATCACGCATCAGGCTAGGTACTCGAGTGGAAACCAGATGGGAAGCGATGAGTTGGGCGTTCGTGGCAAGGATGACATGGAGGAGATCACGCGAGGGGGAAGTGAGAGCTTGTGGGCTTTCGTAGAGCCAGGTTCAAAAGATTTCAGAGAACAGAGCGCATTGGAGGTGTGCTACTGAAGCCGTATGTTCCATTAGGAACCAAAGGGACAAATAATAATAAACTCTATCCTTTCAGGTTTTTCAGAACCGCGAAGGTAATTGCGACCATTACAAACTCAGAACGTATTCCAATAAGACTGACGTGGAACCCAAGGAACCGCAGTTACTAAATTCTACAACACGAAGTTTGAAGCTCAAAAACTACAAGTTTCCTCTACTCGCAGTGTTGATGTTGGATGCTGTTGGAAACGAAAAGCGCGTATTCCAAAGCTTATTTTACAATGTAGGGGTTCATGTACGTATGATTACTAGGAATTTTCATTTTAGTTCTATTTACTGATGACCGATGTCGTGAAGTTCTATGATATCAACGAAAGTTCCGTTTAGTCTAGTTTTAAAACTTAATTCGACTGATTATTGAGAAAATCTAGCCTCCCACGCTATGTATGTTCTGTGGATGAGGTAACGTGGTAGAGTCGAATGAACGAGTTGTACTAGAGCGCTTCGCCAAGTAACCTCAAGCTATCTAACGTAACTTGGGACCAACAGATATTTATTTCTTATTCTCTAGGCTTAAATTTTCTAGTATATATGATTATTTTTATATCATACCATCGTTGATTGAACTGAATTGATCGGTCTCTACTGGCGTATGGGATACTGTGGGGATGCCTCAATATTACCTGTTGTGCTCTTATGATAGTAATGATGGATAGTGGCTGGCAGTGGAATCTAGGATGTGCATTTCGTCCAGCTGACGAGTCCCAAGTAGGACGAAATGCGCATCTTGGATTCCACTGCTAGCCACTATCCATCATTACTATACATTTTCTAAGTGTATAAGTTTTTCTTTGCACCGTATTGGACAATGTAAAAGAGACCGGGGATGAAAACTTGTAATTAATTTCGCCTTGTTACTAGTTTTCCGTGCTAATAGCGAACCGTAGCATTTGACTGTGCACTATGGGGTGATATATTGCTGAAACTTTAAGGGTATATTTGTATCTTAAGGTTTTAATTCATAAAAGGGGTATACTTCGTTACTTTTCACTGTGTGATGAGTTAGTTTGTAGTGAGAAATAAGTCTGAGCTAATGGTAGTTGAAATTCTAAACTCTGGCATGAAATCTTAACTTGTAAGACTGTAACTGTCAAATTAGACGGATATAGTGGTGTCAGCTTTCTAGCAATTATTGCATGCTTAGTTTTCCGGTGAAAATTGTATTACCCTTCGTGTATGTGAACAGGAAGGAGGATTTTTCTTTTATTTATCTCACGAAAGCCAGTAAATATTCCACTGCCTCATGTTTGATCATGTAAACAATATCACAATTCTACATCTCCACTATGTCAGTAGGTCTTGTATCAGTTGAAGGAATATTAAGTCTGTGTCGTCGGCACGGCAAAGTAAGTTTAAGGTGAAGCGAAGTCGAAAAGCCTTTAGATCAATCACATGTTGAGTATCAAAGAAATTTCCACGTTGAGGTGTGTGAATGAGGTTCTGCATTTTTCAAATCTTGATCTTCGAAGACTCTACAATCTGCCGTCTTAAAATTGTTTTAGGCATTGATGACATTTGTGATGCATCGGTAGGTCAAGCAGGGCAAGTGTGTGGATGACTGTTGTCAGCAGAATACATGAGCTGAAAGGACAGCGTACTTGCCGATGAACAACAGCAACAGTTGTATTTTTTAGAAATACAGTAATGTCTTTAGTATATCGCATTGGATGTAATATTACTGGAGATGTTTATTCATGTGGTGGATGCAGATGTTTTTCAGCAGTATTCACGGAGATGAAAACAAACTTGCAGGACATTGGCCTCTTACTAATCTTCTTAAGAAATTTTCTTGCGGATTGTTGTGTGTTGTATCTGAGCTATTGGCCTTGTAGTCTGATTTGAAAATGTAAGGATGCAAGTCTCAGGTTTAGTGTTTTGCTTGACAAGTTGACCCAAAATTTAGTTCGGTGAGGTAATCGAGTTGGCGTACACCGGGAATCCGATTCGATGTGTTTGGTGGTAACCACAACGATAGACAGCTACTTCAACTATGTATAAAAATCTGTTTGTGTGACTAACGAACGTCTTCAGTATCCGGAAAACTTCGTGACAAGTTATTGGCTGTTGAATGATAGTAATACTGTCGTGGTAAATGTGTCAAGTAAAATGAAGTTGATTGGAAATGCAACTGTTTGTCGGAGGGTTTTGATTGTAGATGAGACATTAAAACTGAGAATTCACTTGTTTAGAAATAATGAAGTAATATTGTTTGTGAAGATAGTGAAGTAATTGTGTGGTATATGATGATTGAGACGGTGAAGTGATTGATGACTCTATGAAAGTGAGTTTTTTTTAAGGGTAGAGTGATTTGATCCTGTCGACATGGAAGCGTTAAGAAGACCTACTGAACAAGTGATATTTGTGAGGAGAGATGGTGGTGGTTTGTGTTCACACCTTAGTGGGTTGATGGCGGAAGTAACATTTGATCGTCTGGTGTTAGGATTCACCAATCCATCCATCGATCATCCATCGAGATCAACCTAGGACGAGGCATTACTGCGTAATGGTGCGAGTTGCCGCACCTCATATCAGTATGTCAAGTAAAGAGGCAATGAGGTGCAAGATGAAGACAAGAGAATGCAGTCAAAAGAAGTATAAAGTAGGAAAAGAGAGAAACGAAGAATGAGAAAGTGGTGATATTTGGTATAGCATCGTTAAAATGAGGATAATATGTGTGGGGATATATCTGCGCCATTGACATCGGTTGTGAGTCATATCCCCTAGAATCTGCATCCACTGGTTCCTCTTGTCTTGCTGACCTCAACCGGCTAGTGTGCGTCGCCCCACATGGCTGAAACCAATAGTGTGAGACTTCATGCATGTATGTTACAGAGAATGCTAATCAACCGAGAAACACTGCTCAATTAGATTTATTGAAATAAATTGGTTGTTGGTGGATAGCAGTCTGAGTAAACTTGAGTACTGACAGAGAGTTGTGAGGGCGATTAATACTTCCCGGCTGCCCACACCGTGGAAGGCTATTTCTTCTTAAAGTACCTGAAATAGATATGTGTGACCGCATAGCTCATCGGACATCTGCTTGAGGTCTGTCACACGTAGCCTGTTGGGTGCGATTATTTCGAACTTTTTGTATTTTTGGGGCCAGATGGTCGAAAGAAACGACAAATGAACCGACACCGCCGGCCCGGCATACCGTGGAGCATAGTGGAGTGTGTTATTTTTGGGGCCGACGTTTTCTCATCCCTCCTTCGATTGAGAAGGCAGCATCAGCATGGCACTGCTGGTCATCAGTTAACCATCTCACTGCTGTCACACTCCATCCAGCTAACAGCAGTACAACTTCGCCCTCATACCGCCAACAGTGTCATCGGGGAAGAGAGTTGATGGAGACATCTCTGTGTTTGTTGACAAGTGCATGATATGGAATTGTAGTGTAAGTATGTAATCGGGATTCACTTTGTCATAGTGTTGCAAATAATTGTTATTAATTTGCGATAAATGAGCAACAACAATGTTTGAATTTATTTTACTAAACTGGCTGTTGGTGTAAAACTAAGGTATGTGACTGTTATTCCACTGGTTGAGAGGAAGATCTGTTAGGTTAAGAGTGAATTGTCTGGCGTATTGGATTAGAGTTGATTAGCAAGGTGGATTGACGACATTGTAACGAGAGACTAAAATGCGTAATAATCAGTTAGTTGTGTAGGACTCTTCTTGTGAAGGTGTTGTATCTTGTTTGGATGTGTTTCAGGTTGTACCAGATGAAGCAGGGGGATGGTATCTGTTTGTGTAAAATTGCAACTGGGTTGTGAGCGGTATCTGTGCATAACATTGGATGTGTTACAGGGTGTAGAATCAAGTGCGAGGGTATTATTAATTAATGTGGAGCGGCTCGCAAACTTCAGGAAACTAATTATACTTCAATGCCGAGAAATAGCCGACGTAAGAGTCGCTGACTTATGGTAATTCCTTCCAGCGTCTTTGGATTTGCACAAGCTGCACACACTTTCCAACCATTTATGGTTGCAGTTGTACTAGACGCCAATTTGTTCTTCATGATGATGATGATATCATTGTAGTGAGTGGTACTATAGAATATATCGCATATGTTAGTGTACATTTTTCCTCTTTCAGCAATAGAAATTGGAGGCTATAAAACGTAACAATTGGAATTGTGATGCTTTGTGTTTTGAAGTTCCACATATGAGATATCTCTTCGTCTCCACGGCAATCGGTGTATATGAATTTTTTTAGTGTGTAGATAGGGAAACCTGATTTCTTTGGTAGCGTTTTTATACCTGTGCATTTTGCTTTGAATCTGAGAGATTCAATGTTTAATTGGTAGTTAGATATTTCTCTGGTAGTAGAGTTGAGGTGACTTGATATTAGTTCGGAGATTTTGCAACAGACGAGCATTTTAGTGCTGAATTAGCTTTTGAAATAATCGACGTAGTCGATGCATCGTGTTGACCGACTCTATCCTCGGACTAGAAGTTGGCGCTGAAGATATTGAAATGTTTGATGAAGGTATTGAGAAGAGCCTATATGTTGTGAGTATTTCCGCACAGCAGGACCGTATCGTCTTCACAAGTTATGTCTAACAATGGGTGTATAGTTTGCAGCATACGTTTGTAAATTGACTTCTAGTACAGACCACTACTATGTGATGAATATGGTTTATTATGTAGTCAGTTATCTAAGGCATTTTATGATACATAGGCTCATATGTATATATATATATGGTTGTTGTATTCACTTAATCATGGTGAGTTATTCTTGTTTCTCCAGAAATCTCAGGAATTGAATTCTAAGTAGTGTGGTGGGCTGACTGTTTTGTGAAGCATCGACTTACAAAACTATCTGTATGCACTGTGTACAGTATTCTGGCTTTTGGATTACACTATGTGATTGTATAGAATGGTATGTTGATTGTATGTAATTTATTAGAGTTATTACCATATTATTTTCATTTCAACTATGTGTTTCGACTGATAGACGTTGTTTTGTTGTTGAGATACCTGATTGTTTGGGAATTGATAATTCTGGAGAGATTGAGATAATAGGGTGGTGGTGATGTGAGATATGTTTCATATGAGACCGAATACTTGCTATCCACTGATAAGTTGTCTAGTTGAAATGCAGTAAGTGAACAGGTAGACGTTGGTTCAGTGTAGAATGAGGCATGCATATTTTATGAGGGTTGGTGATAGTACTTGACTGTCGAAACGTTGGTAGGTTGTGTGAGGTTGGAATCTGTGACCCATTGGTTGTAAGTTGGTTGGCTGGAGTAGTGTGATGCACAGCTCCATGTGATAATTTGTAGTTTCCATTCATGAGGTTATCGAAGGGTTACTGATACTTCTTGTTTTCTAGAAGTTGTCACATAGAATGAGTAGTAACTGTGTGACCAACTGATTAAGTCATGTGTAAAGTGATAAACTGCTTATTGGACAATTCTGAGGAGTACAGATTGATATCCGACAGTGTCATATAGTTACAACAGGATAAAATGGTGTTGTTGAGCACAAGAATATACACTGTAACGATTCGTCAGGATTTTGTTTTGTTTACTGTTGTGAACGTGGTTTATGTTGTTATGACCGCCTGTGTCTAGTCGAATGAATTGGTGAATATTTTCAGTCTGCGATTAACACGTAATTTTTATTTGAAGTTATGTGATTGTTCGACCAACCTGTGACTTAGCACAGTTTAGAATTGAAATACGTGAGCTAAGAAGAAATTTGAAAGAGTATTTTGCTGAGTTTCTCATTGTTGTTCGATGAGAAGGTTTGTTGCCGTGTAGAAGAATCACATTTCAGAGTGTTTTCTAGTCACCATTATTGATAAGCATTGATGAGGCTGTGTTGGAACCCGTGACCTGAGTTGTTGGAGGTCGAGTGTGTAGACCTATGAAGTGGATCTCCGGATATAGATGAGAAGTGGGCTTTCAGAGGAGAATGGGGGTGGGGTATTCAACAGTTATGAATACCACAGAGACACTAAGTAATATTTTTCTTTTGTGAAATGTAGATAAAGAGGATAGAAAAGAGATGATTCACTTCCAGTTTGTCTATCTGCATCATGTTAGAAGTGCGGTGACCAGTTGGTATGTGAGGTATTCCAGGAAAGGTATAAGTTTCGGTTTGATATCACTTGTGATAACGGAATTCCAAGTCTAGGCATCAAGTCTCGTGATAGTGTTCTTTCTCAGTTTTCAACTCTGTAGTGGTCCGTCAACCACTGGCGAAGTCAATCGTAGAGACTTGATGTTCATTGGTGAATATATCATTGTCGATGTAATGGGATGTTCGTAAATATGCAGTTTCACTGAATTCATGATATAATGTGATCTTCATGTTATTATTTAGTATTTGGTGTCACTGAACTTAATCGGTCAAACAGATCACCGTTCTACAATATAAAAGAAAGAGAAGTTTTTACCCATTGTTAATAATGGGGTGGTGTTCAGTGGACGTTTGGTGTCTGGTTTACTGGTCTAGGTATTTGACTTTGAAGCAGTGGGTTGTGGGTCCTAACGATGCTGTGCTTATCGAGACAGTGTTACTAAGCGTCAGATAGTTGGTGTGGTTGACTGCATGTTGAATTTCTTTTGTGACTTATAGTTGTTATTAACGAGCTTCTGGTTATTAGATTTTGAGTGGCAGACGTGCATGATATTCCATTAACTTTCATTAACGTCTACAGGAAGCTATTGATGACTATTTTTGAATAATTACAAGTAGTGATAAGATGATAGTGAATTGAAATCTGAGGAGTGGATGTGCTGTTGTGTGTGTGTGTGTGTGTGTGTGGTGGTCATCAAGAGATGACTGGTTAGACTAGTCGTTATTGACATGTTATCTGAATTGTTTACATGAAATAAGAGACATTATTCTGTAGTCTGTGTTATACACATCCGAATAGGCATTATGAATTGAATAGAATGATACTGTTATTGGATGAAATCGAAACTAATTGCAACCAATATCATCTGATTAATAATGTGACTTGTTGATTTAAGGATTCAGTTTTTAAACAAGTGATCCTCGGTTGGAAGCCTGTTTGATTGACTTCAAGCTGAGTAACCGAATAATAATTGTAAACCCTCATAGAATAAAGTGTTGCTCTCAGTCTATTGTATATGCATGTGTAGTGGATTAAGTTAGATTGTGAAACTGTGTAGAGTTGAGGAAGAGTAGAAGTAGAGGTGGCTAACTGGACGACGAGTGATTTCTTTCTCATAAATATGAGACTGAACTGAGGTGTTTGGAAATGTATGTAGATTCCTCGTATACTGTGTAGGCACGTAGCCTATATATGCTGCCTCCACGATATTCGACTGGTAATTATGAGTCGAGTGTACTAGGCTGCAGTTTGCTCCGTTTCTAGTGTTTGGCTGTGAAAAGTGGTCATTAACGGTAGATGGCGTAAGAAGGGTTTGGTGTTTTGACCACCGTTGCCTTCGTCACATGGGCTGCGTTTCATGGCATCACCAATTCGGTAAGACAGAAGTCAGGTGTAGGGTATTGAAGAGGAGAGGAAGGTCATTTGGTGTGGTTGTGAGCGTTGATTGACTGAGGTGAGTGAGTGGGACATGTGTTACAGATGCTGGTTCCCCGTCTGCTTCGTCACAAAATGTTAGGTGAATTAGGTTGAGGCTGTAAAAGGGTTAGGTGGAGTCAAACTAGAGCATGTCATCAGTGCATGAAAATTTTGACTGTTGGTGTGAGCCGTGTTGGGTAATGTAGACTGTGTGTGTGTGTGTGGGGCTCCGCATGGAACCGGAGACTAGTGTTGACATTGTTGAGAAGTGGTCTCAGTGTGGCATTTGTATCCGCTCATTATCCTCATCTTAATCGTCGTAGTGAATTCAGTATTTCCTGATTGCTCTCTCACCTGGTTGTGTTTCTTCTGTCTACCATTGTGGTAGCAGGTTGTATTTTGATTTTGTCTGTTAATCCTTGTGCATGCCAAGCCATCAGCACATGCTTGGACGTACAGTGTTATCTGTAGTAGAATTGGGTGCCGAGTAGGTTGATGGGTGGCCAGACCGAATGGTGATAGCATTCGATGAAGTTTTTGTTTGCTGGTCGGAGTCTTGTGAGGGAGGCATAGACTGTCTGATTGTGGTAGTCCATATGATAGGAATGCATGGTTGATGACTTTGTGGCCTGGCTGATGTCTTGAATGGCTTTAGCATTTTCATTAACCTTTGTTTTCAACTCCTCTCCTTTATCTTTTATGTTATCACTTGTTGTTTGCATGTGAGTGTAAATAGTAGTGACGTGAGGCGATGCACTTCTGTGCAGGGTTCCACGTTGATTTATTTGTCTGTCTGTCTGGTTATTTCGTTTACCACTTACACGAAGTATGAAGGGAATGTATAAAAATGCGACTTGCCAACACATTGGACTAGGAGGCTAACAACTTGATTTATTGCGTGATATTTGCCAGCTGGTCAAACGTCGACATAATTGAGGATCGAGTGAATCTGTGATGTGTTGTTAAAAGACCGAGTGTGTATTTCTTCGACCTAGAGTAGAAAGTTTCAACCGTTTTGGTGTTAGTTGTTAGTGCAGTCACTTATGTTGAATAGTATCATGTAGTAGAGGTTTCAACTTCCAGGATCCTGTAGTAGTGGTGGTGGTAGTGAAATCTGAGAGTCATAGTATCCATCCATATTGAGATGAGATGTGTAGGTGAATTTTCGTGTTACAACATTGTAAAGTGTAAATAGAAACACATTTACAATTTACGCTTTGGTTTATCTAATGTGCTTCGTTATTTGATTTTCTGCTTGTGTAATGTGTGTTTGTTTTCCGATTTTCTTTTAATTTTTATTCCACTGTGGTGTTGTTGACCATCAAATTTTAGACTGATATTGAATTGTGCATGAAGGAGGTGATTCGTAAGATCCTGATCAGCTCTGGAGAACCTTTCAGTACATCAGATGTTGTTGTTGACATGATCTATGATTATATTGGTGCAAATTGGCATGGAATGCTTAAAGGCTTGTCAACATATTCACCTGAATTACGTGATATATTAATAATGTGCAGAGATCAGCCTTTACGATTAACTAGAATTATGAAATATTTTCGTACAATTTGTAATGCTTCACTTTTTAAAGTGAATAATTTCAATGTGGATGATGTAGATGAATCATTGTCGTCATTTGTGAATGAGACTTACAGTAATAAGGATAATGATACTGAGATAGAAGTGGATAAAAGTCTACAGAATAATTGCCAACCTTTCAATTCTCTTCTACCCTACGGTGGTGATGATGATGATGATGATGTTGGTTCAAATTGGTCAAGATTGAATAATTTACTTGTACAATTGTCTATACCATCACCGAGTCAACCTGAAGACTTTTGGCAATCATTTAATTGTAGGATGAATGAGATCCACTGTAAACTAGGTGAAGGTCGACTACTTCGTCTGTCAAGAATTGATATGAAAGCGCGATGTGAATCAGTTGAAGAATTTTTAGCCTTCAATCGTTTAAGACAATCGGCTAGCTTTTTAAGTTTAACCAGATCTCGTAATTATTATAAACTTTGGTATTGGCTTTTCTATTGTCTATCGAGTAGTACTACTAGTGGTGGTAGTAGTAGTGCTAAGACTGTGTCAAGACGAACAACATCCAAGATGCGAATGAGGGAAAATGTTGTAAAAGTGAATGATAATGACACAAATTTCTTGTCCACTTCGCCTTCATCACCGTCTACATTTTCTGCTTTCACAAATGATTCAGCATCTCGTGAAGGTTTAGTTCTACTCGCTCACCTGTTAACCGGTGATGTTCTAGACGTGATCGATATGGTATTGTTCAATCGTAAGAAGTTGAAGATCAGTTTGTGTTCACCGCTTACACCGATTGAAATTAAAGAAGTCTTACGACTGTTTACAAGTGTACTATATCCGTTGAAGTGAACAATAGTGTTATCGTTGAAGGTTGAAGGATCGTACTGACATGTATGTGTTGCCATCCACTGATTTGTACATTACATGCCCTGTCCTTTTTCATATATATTATTAATATTATGCAGCGCAATTAGTTTTGAGAACATGACTTATTTTTCCCTTGTTGTTTTCGTGTATGTTTGATGCTTTTGCGATTACCTATCCGTTGCTTCCATTCCATAGGAGTGTCGAGAGTTTATCAGATAGAGGTGGTAGATAGATATAGACGTGACATAGACGACTGTTGGTGTGTGGTGTATGTAACGTGGGAGATTGATGTAATGTCGCTGACACCGCCTTCAGGTGTGTATGTACTAGACTGTGAGCCGTATTTGTTGTGCAAGGACTTATTGTATTATCAGGTCGGTATGACGAGATTGTAACCAGGATATGTACTGCCTGATAGTCGAGTGGGTAGTATTCTTCGATTGGATCCGATATATCTGGTTGTTAGCCAATTTATGTATACAGTTGCATTCACTGGTTTTTGGGGTCGTTGGCTAATCTTCATTGTTGGTTAAAAGTGACCTGCCTTGTGCATTTCATCCAATTTTTCGTGTGATGCTGTTTCTGTTAAGGCATTGTCATGAGGCCACATAATGAGAATATAAGTCAATGAGATGATTAATTTTCGGTGCTCAGATGATTGTGAATTTCAACGTGGTTTTGAATCTGACAAGGATGAGGTGAGGCAGTCTGGTAAGGTGTAGCGCAATCAACACCCACAATGATTGTTTGGAATTCTTCGTATCAAGTAAATTTCTTCTAGTGAAACTTTTGTTAATGTATTTTGATGCTGGAATTTAGACGAATGAATTTCAACTGGATGACTGCAAAACTTGAAAGTCTCGATTTCGCGTATATTTGTCACCGTGTGTGTATGTGTGCTGTTGCTTAGTAGTTCAATACTAGAGAGAAACGGTTGTCCAGCGTGTTTTGATTCCCTGTGATGGTGAAGTAGTTGGCGTTTAATGATCAATAGTTTAAAATAGTAAAAGCTTTGCAATTGTATATCAGAAACTGATCAGTGTGTACATGAATTTGGGTAAGATGTGGCCGTTGTAAGTAGAAGGAAGAGATGAAAGAAAGGGTTACAAGATTTTGATAATGGGTGTTTTCGTAAGATTTCAGGCGTTTGGTTAAATCAGCGTGTGAGGAATGCCCAGGTCAGCTGAAGGGTACTAGATGAGTCAACCGATGAGGTTGTGAACCTCCAGGAACTGAGGTGGCTTGGAGATATGTTGGTGATGTCTAGCGGAGCGTTCGCCTGCCTCGGGGTGCGATGCTAGAGGAGATTGGATTAGTGTGGAAGAGGATCCATGGTGGTGAGAGGAGGATGCACCACCAGACGATGAAGTCGCTGTCGTTTGGTCTGATCTGTGTACCTGACTGGGATGGGTTACCTTAGATGGTAGGGATTAGTGGTTGAGGGCTCTTATTGACACGACTAAAAATCAGTCTCAGTGGCGCAGATGTATTCACTGTCTGAAATTCATCTTCACATTACTTATTCTGTCACACCACTTTGTATGATACTGTGAAGTGTGTGAGGTTCTGCGTTGATTTTGTCTGTCAGATTTGCAATGGGATAACACCAGAAAACCGATTGTACTAAGCCTGTCAGTTGAATCGGTAGGTACAGTGTTTGTGTGTAACTGGAAATCGGTCAATATTTCTGGTAAAAAGTTTTAATGGAGAGACAGTTGTAGAAATGTGATGAAAAATGACATCGAAGGGTGAGATGGAAGTTATCAATTAATATTCGTTAATCGATGAGACTACTGTATAGTAGGTGTGAGGGAGACTGGTTGGAATAAAACTTGCGATCTCATAGTGCAAGTGTCGTGGCTGATGATTGGCTTAAGGAGTTTAGCTCTAAGTGGATTCGAAGACTACTCCACCTGCCGAGGTATGGTTACTTGACGGCTACAACACGAATGTACTACAAGGTTGTTGAGTGAATTTCATGTAGGAATGGCTGTCAACCTTCTCATCAATGGGATAGTTTTTATCAAAGAGCACACTTTTGTAAAGCACTGACATATGCAAGTAAATAAGAGTTAGGTGAATCAGTTGGCCAAGATGAACATTAGACCCTCGGTATTACTGCGTAGCGGTTGAAGTTGCCACACCTGAAATCAGCATATCAAGGTTAAAACAATAACAGAATTTGATTTGACATTCTTAGATGAAGGTAATGTGTGAATGCCTTGACACCACCACTGAGATCGATTCGGTGTCGTATCATTTGGAGTCTTCAACCTTCGATTTTGAGTTATCATATGGAGCCTAACTTGTTGGAAGTGTACACTTTTCTGACCGCCTTCAACTTGATGCATTTCTGCAACACTGCCTGTCAATGTAGACGAGCTATTCGTGATATATATTCCATCCATTTGAGTTGGAGAAGGTTCACAACCTCATCAACTGGCCCTCTTCTTTTACCTGGGAATCTATTAGCGACTTGGTAGTTTCACGACACACAGTGTATGATATGAAGGCAATGGCGGTAAAACACCTGATGTCCTCCACTTACTTTAATCGGCCTTGTTTCACTCGAACGTGAAATGGTAATCGGATGCTTCGCCGTGACTAGATATGCTGTTAGTTAACTAGATGGAGTCGAGGTTTTTGTATCCGTGAGAGGATTTTGTGGGTCACTGACTCACTTGGACTAATCTAACTTCCCAGGTCAGTGAACTAGGCAATAGGCTGAACGACTTCACTGTCTATTGTTAGATGAGACAGTAGCGCAAAGTGGTGCTGATGCGGGAGTTTGCATTTGGATGGTGAGAATTGCATCGTAAACATGTTTAAGTTACCACTTGATGAGTCTAGAAGATTCTGGATCTTGTGAACAGCTACGCATTACACGACCGTTTCATCGAAGTGCTCTTTGGGTTTACTAAGGAGCACTCCGGTGATCAGCTCCATGCCTGTCAGGTCATACAAAGAGAGGGAGGCCTCAATAGGTACGTCTGTGATAAAGTTGAATAAGAATGAAGATAGTGGTCATCCTTAACAGTCACAGTTCACCATAAACTCTGGAGGAGATGGGTGTTCGAGTAGAGAGCCTTCTACCGAGTGATGTACTTACCCTGGGGCCTATTCATTGGGATGCACACTGGCATGAGAAGTCTCGATTGGAGAGTAAATATGTGGTCGATACACAGACAACCAGGTCTGAGTCCTGTCTAGTTTCTCAGGGTACGCTGTTCCCAGGCTACACTTCGGTGTTTAGTAATTAAGGAGCCTGGAATCGTGGCCACTATGTTCGTCGGAATGATTCCTCTGTGGTTATCACAGGTGGACTTATGGCACAAGCCTACCGGATCGTAATGTCATTCTTCGTTCCAAGTTAGTTGTGGCCTCCTCAACTTCTTTAAAATTTGAAGGTCCTATCTCAATATTCCATTCAGGATGTGGCTGTATGGCAGATAATCGAGGAGAGTAGCTGGATGCCAGTTGTAGTTTTTCTGTCGTCATTACAGTTGTTTTGTGTAGGGGTGAATCACAGTTGTTTGTCTCTGCATTATCTTCATAAGCCATCGACTTTCCCACTGCATTTTTCTTGATCAGTCTAAGTAACTGTCTACTGTTACCTATATGCTATGCTATACCTTCTGCATCTCTTCAGCTTTTGCTGCCCACCACCATCGGTGACAGTCAGTGTGTGAATTCTGTGTCAGTCTAAACTGTTTCTTCGACTTCATAGTGATCTGAGTCTGCAGTAATGCGTACATGTGGATCCGTTAGATCAGAAGAAGTTGGTGAGGTCTACTATATCTTTTTAACCTCTTAGTGTGGGTCTGTCTCGGTGTTTAACGCTGATTTTACAGCAGACTGGAGATAGCACAAGAGTTCTTCAAGTTGAATGATATTGTTCCCTTCTGATAAATGTGTAGCCAGTTCTTCGATGAAGCAGCCTTAGTATTCTTATCACGGAATTGTTTTCGAAGTAGTAGTGTCATCTTTATTTTTCTCTACATCCGTTTAGGCGTAGTCAGGTATTCTTGAAGCAACGTATGTTGAGTATCGCCACACACACACACACACTTTGGAAGAGGTGGTAATCTTCCATAGCGCATCTTCAACAGTAGTGACTGACAAGTGTGTGATCTGTGTTCAACGTTGAATTGAGTTTAGTGGATGCCAGGTGAGACAGTATGTGCCTTTGTCTGAAGTTCGTGGTGGCTATAAATAGGTTTCCTGTAGGGATTATTCGTTCGTTCTTCTGGGATTTCAAAAATACCAGCTGAGTACGTATCTATCTGGTGTAGTCCACCCACTTTTGCTATGAAGTCAACTGTTACAACAACGCCATCTGAACGTTAGGCTTTCAGTAGGAGGCCAGATAGTTTTCGACAAGATTCATCCTCCACTTCATCTGAACTGCAATTAGTAGGTGCGTACATGGAGATCCCAGAGATACACCAGTGGGTTTCACTGGTCTTTTCAATCTTCACTTTATCGTTTGGTCTAAGTGCGTAGAGACAACTGTCAGCTGAAACATGTACGTTTTGTGTTTCGACTTGACATTGAGTCTACATCTACAAGACCACGGGATCTTGAGAAACTCGATGGGGGTATTTCACGGATTAGTGAAGTTGGTTGGCTGAAGTCTAAGTGAATAACCTCATTTTTGTCCTGTTGGTGTGTTTCACAAACATAGCCTACGTTAATGGCTGGAGATGAGAAGCTTGTGTCATTTGACGGATACCGAGAACATTTAAGTCTCCGATATGCTTTATGAATGGGAGTTTCGGCAGACCAGCGAGACTATTTCATGAACTGGAAATTGTCATTGTCAAGAAGTGTAGAGCCGGATGAGTTTATAGTATCTCGGTCTGAAGTGTTTCTGAGTGAAAACTGACCCTATTTATAGAGTTTACAATAGCCTTGAAAGACAAGGAATCATTAGTATATTTAAAGAGCCAGGAGCCAATCAGAACAATAGCGGGTGATACTAAATACGACGCATATGCGGGATAAGAGCGCGAATCAACAGTTCAAATATATACAGAACTGTAAGTGTGGAATATGGAGGATATCAGCATTCGTAAGAATTTCTTAATAAATTTAGCAGAATAATAATTATTCAGAAGTAAAGCTTCTCTTAACCTCACGTGGTTAACTAGTTCACTAGTTACTAGCCGGTCCTAAGCCCGGGTAAAGAGGGAAGGTTGGGCATAAGGCTAGGAACCCTACCCCGTAAAAGAAGTCTAACCGCTAAAGAAACTTTAAAGCACAAACGATATATAAAAAATAATCACAAAATTATTCCTCGCTGGAATCGGAGAGGCGAAATGACGCCACTTGGTGAAAACCTTCGGGAAGCCAATCGGCCGATGTGTCTTCTCTCGCACGATGACAGCGAAAGTAAACGTGGGGACTTGGAATGCCCGCACGATGTTTGAACCCAGCAAGGCAGCCCAGATTGCAAACGAGATGAAGAGGTATCACATTGAAGTGCTTGGAATTTGCGAGAGCAGATGGAATGGAATTGAACTCTTCAAACTGTCAACTGGAGAATCAACAATCTACTCCGATCTTGTCACCCAGACGACAACCACGAGCACAGTGAGTTTCGGAGTGGCTATCATGATGTCCCCTTCAAGATCATCGAAGGCTCTCAT